AGTGAATTTACAGTCCTCAGTCCTCTATTTTTCTCTTGCCAAAGTCAGAGCCATTAGTGCTGCTATTCTCATTCCAAATGCTGAGCATACACCTTTGGTTTTATGTTAGGGGGAGTGAGGTAAGAGCATAATTTATATTTATTACCCAAAAGGAGAGAGCCAGCTCAAACAAAATTACTGCTAAAATAAAATACTCCCCTGCACATGCTTGAACTCCAGGGAGAGGCTAAGGGAGGAAACATTGCAGATACTTTTTACGTTGCTCTGATTTTATAATGATGAAAAATGCCACAAAGTAGAGCAGCATAGGGAAGGAAACTTCTTTGGCTTGCAGTCAGTGTGGAGAATTTGCCAAGGCTGGTATCTTCCTTCTGTGAGGGGAGTTGAATCTGCCTCTTGCTGCTGCAACTGCAATCTGTGACAAGCTGCATCCCAGCTGCAGTCAGTGATGTCTCAGGAGGGTAGCTTTTTCCCCACCTCCTATGTACCCTTTAGGTAATGTGCTGCATCTAGACTCTTGCACAGATTTTTCAACAGAAGGCATTCAAACTTTTTTTGCTATTCCAATCTAAGTTCAATGTCATTCACTGTTCAAAGCCTGCAAACTGGAGAGTGGTTTGATGTAGTTCTGAGCAGGGTCCATCAGGTTTAGGTGATAATGCAGATGCAGGAATGAAGATGCTTTGAATTTTGACATACCACAAAAAAACCCCACAAACAAACATTCCCGCAGAACCAGATTGGTATGTAGCACATTTACAGTTAAACAAATCTGTTCAGTAATTAGAGGTCAAATGTATTTTGGTCTCCTTCATGAAGAAATCTGGTTAATGAATACATCTACTCAGCACTTAATAGAGCCCAGACAAGATGTTCAGATTGTGCTGTAAAGTAGTTCTAGCACACTTTTCCTTCTTTTACAGACTTTTGAACTTTTCCCCAGTATTTCTTAAACTTGATTCAAAAAAATCTGCTGCTAAAATCTTTTCTGGTTGGCCATGGCAGTGTCCTTTATGACACCTACAGCTACACCTACAGACTGAGAGATGCTTTAAAAAAAAACAGACATCCAAAGCACGAAGGTAGCAATGAGAGCCCCAAAGATAGCAATTGTATTTTAATATTTTAAAAAATAATAATAAAATAAAGGTCAGCCAAGGAAATTACATGAGGATTCAAAAAAGATTCAGTTGAGAGGAATGTCCTATTGTTGACTTTTATAGTTGTAGATTTGACAGCAAGCCTGCAAATGTGGCTCCATGATCTATCCTTACAAAACCAAATGTATCACTTTCTTATCACTTGAAAATATAAATAATTGAATCCATATTGAGATCATTCAGTGCCTCTGCACTAGGACAGTCCTATTCCAGTCATTAAGCTAGGAATTCTGCCTACATCTTCAAAAGACATGGAAATATTTACTGGTTGAGGACTTCTTGGAACTGTCTTATGCAGTTTCATTACTCAGCTGTGGCCCATTTTGATGCAAACTGAAAGTTCTAAGGCAATTGCTTTGAGCCACATATATAATTTACATTTTACTATCTTAGTCTGTTTTGCTCAGTGGGGTGAATATTTCTGTCCCTGAAAATACAATTGCCTTTGTTAATATTCCCAGTGGAGACACTTATTTCCTTGAAAACCTCTCTTTTGTTGGCAGGCAAGATTTTAAAATTATGACTAAGCAGCTCCTGTGTTGGAGGGGGAGGAATTCCCAAAAGCTCAAAGTTCCCTTTTAATTCCTCCTGCGAATCTCACCCTGCAGTTCTGTACAGGGGAAACTATAGAGTTCTGTTGCACAACTCAGAGTTTTCACACTTAGGTTGACCCTGTGTTGATCTGCATGGTGTCTCGCTAAGCAAACTGGGTCTAGCACAGGTCACATAACTTTTTCTGGGTGCCATGGATGATGCCCCTTGCTTTTACAAGACTGCACTGATGTGATGATCACTTACTGATTGATAGGCTGGCTGCATTTTACATAGACATAAGAGAAACGTCACAGACCACCTCTGAGAGACTGGCTACTACCCATGCACATGCCAGACCTATTTGCTCCCTGCATACTTCTTTTCCACCCTGTCATTGCTGCTGGCCCCATGGAGCAGCCTGCAGGTTGGATTAGTTGTTTTACTAGCAGTTACCAACTCTGGGCAATTTTTTTCTGAGGATACCTGTGATTCACAACTTGCACACACAAAGTGTGGTATGTGGCAAGTGGAGCTGTGACCATGAGCTAGGGGAGGGTTCTGGGACTGCTGGGAGGGACCTGCTACCATCAGCAGCATACAGCCACCTCACTGCTGCATCTAAAAGCTGCTCCCGACAGAGACCAGCAGGGACCAGGCCATAAAACAAATCCTATGAAACAAATCTAGTCCATGGGCAACACAGTTCACTGTAAGTTTTCACTATAGATACTTGTTTTTGAAATTCCAACCCATTTTCAGAATTAACCAGTGGACACTGCATTGCAACTTTAAAGACCTCAGTCACAGAAGTATTGCCATGTTGAGCAGTAAACACTATCACTGATTGTTACCTAAAGCTTCATCTCATACAACCAATCCCAAAACTAAGAACAAAAATAAAGTGGACTTTCCTTTGGGAGCTAATTAGTTTTACAGCACTGATGCATGTTTTTTGATGCTGCTTTTGTTCCCCTTTCTTATAGACAGAAACTCTGCTTCTTCAGGTGGAAAAGAGAAATCTGTGTGTTTGTGTAACTGCAAACCTGCTGGACTGAATCCTGGAGGCCAGTTAAGGAGTGTCACCTGCTCAGCAGTTTTTAAAAGGCAGCTGTATAAAATACAGCATTAAGGAGTTCATGTTGTAAGCATGTATGCCCCAACATACTGAGGAAACTGGGGGGTTGTGTCTTTATATATTTGTCTGTTCTGTTTGTTGGGGGTTTTTTTTAATAGTACCCTCTATTCATATCCACTGGGTTGCCAGTAAGGGCTCAGTTTGGTAAAACTGTTAGTTGGTGTTGAAGTGGGGGAAAATTTTACCTGCTTTGATTTTTAAATCAGAGTTCGCCAAGTGTAACCCACAAGATAAATATGGCCAGCAGTGGTCTAGAGACACTTGCAGCTGGTTTTTGTCTGTAATATGAACATATCTCTGTGGCAACTTGACCACAGGAATTGTAGTCTCTGTAGGCTTTGCCTGTACATTAAAGATGATGGAAGTCCTTTCTGTCTGTTGTCTGCACTGTGACCACATTCAGGCATGTTGCAGTTCTTTCAGCTGTCACGAGGTATGTGTCATGAGGAGATATATATATGTATGTATATATATATATATATATATGCCATACTAGTACCAAATCAGTTTATATCTTTCTGCTGAGTTTTCTGATATCCTGCATCAAAGTATTGTCTTCTTTAATTAACATCTTCAGTTTCTTACCCTCCTTCCCTGGACACTCCATTCTTAACACATTCTATCTCTAAATAGCTTTATCTTAGCAGGTAGAGTAGAAAAAGGAGAATAAGGGCATGACTAGGCAGCCTTGCCAGCTGTACCAAATGCTACGACCAGCAACTGCTCAGCATCACACTGAAGGAAAGGTCCATGCAATGCCAAGAAGTTCATCTTCAGTTTCTTACCCTCCTTCCCTGGACACTCCATTCTTAACACATTCTATCTCTAAATAGCTTTATCTTAGCAGGTAGAGTAGAAAAAGGAGAATAAGGGCATGACTAGGCAGCCTTGCCAGCTGTACCAAATGCTACGACCAGCAACTGCTCAGCATCACACTGAAGGAAAGGTCCATGCAATGCCAAGAAGTTTCCTCCCAAGAGTGCTCCTTATTTTACTACAGGTGAAACACAGTGGTTAGGTCACTCATATTTTCCATTCGGTGATGGATTGAACTATGAACATTTTGGTCTTTCCTTGTAGTTGCTTTTGACAGCTGCTGTTTGTTTGTTTCAGGCATGAAGGGATACTTGTATAGCTGAAAGCTGTGGGGTTTTTTTTACCCTCATCTCTACCACTTTATTCTGTGCCCACTCACAAGTCTGAATTAGGCTGAGCAGTTTGAGTAGATGCTCTGAGCTTGTTTGATGTGACTTCGAGCTGTCTCAATCCACACCAACAATAGGGCTTTGGGGTGCTGACATGGCTTAGGGAGTGGATGGGAGGATGCAATTCCCAGAATTGCACTATTTAAATTTATGTATTTTTTAAGATAAGAACTTGATTTTTACCCTAATCCTTTATTTTATTCCATATTTGGCTGTGCAAAAGACAGTAGGCACCACTGACAGAGAAATAAAGGAATCATATAGTTGGAAAAATGTAAATACAGCTGATTTTTTTCCTCTGTGAAGTGCCAGTTGTTGCATTACAGCAGTTAGGGTCTTGTGTTAATTGTTAGAGAATGTAGAAACAAAACACAGCTTCTATTTAAGTGCAGAGAATGTTTAATTCATGCCAAATCAATGGGAATAAGGTAATTTATGTAAGGGGCTCTTCTACAAAATGAGCAGAAAGTGTAGGAGTTTCTATAACAGAACTGAGTCTAGTCCAAATTAATTGAAAGATCTGCTAATGTAAGCTACATTTTAATGTCAAATCTGGACTAACTTTTAAGCAAAACAATGCTCATTTGGTAAAACAAATACTAACAACAATTATAATTTTGTGTGGGTTCTGCACTGAGCTTGGTGGAACTTGGCATTCTTCCTTTGCATAAATCCCAACAGACTTTAAAGTTCCCAGTGATACGAGGTTTAATGAGGTTGTATCTGTGCAGGATTATATCTGTCCAGCTCTCAACCTCAACCCAAAAAGATGACCCTGGTTTCACTCTGAAACTCTTCAGTTTAATAGGCTGGGGAGAGACACAAACTTTGGGACCAAAATCAAAGGTTATTTGTGAATGCTTATAGTCAAAGCTTTCACTGGAGGCCATCTTCAGTGCTATAAGTTGACTTTCAAAGTTCTTTGTGTTTTGGGTGATTTCCCCAGTTAAAGGATGGAATTTCATCCATGAAGGAAATTTGATACACATGGTTTCTTGCCTCAGCAGCTCTTGCATTCATCCTGGACTATATCTACACTGTAATAAAACGTTCAGCTTGTGAAAAGTACCTGGTTTCAGCCAACAACATTGAATATAACTTATGCACAATTCAGTCTTGCATTGAAGTGAGAACTGAACAATGCTTAAATGCCTTTTGACAGCTGGTATATTGCACATTTAAAGTGTGGTTTAGTTTATATACAATGTAAAATCAAATTGTGTTGTACCCATGGAAGGCTGAACTGTGTCCTAGAAAACAATAGATTTTCTTAAATAAAAGAAGATCTCCCCACCTCCTCTTTCTGTATGCACATACAGGCTGGGCAGAGAACTGCCTGAGCTTTTTGTTGCTCTGGTTTTGGTGGCCTCAGAATAATGTGCCCAAACCCCACCACTTAAACCCAGCAGATTCTTCTGGAGCATCATCTTCTCTCAGAATACAAGAATTCAGAAGAGTTTTTTACACACAGTTATCTAGCAAGTACATGTTTATATCTTCCTAGACAAGGATACGACTGGCAGCCACAGGACAAACAGCTCAGCTTCACTGTCAGTGGCATTCAGACTGCATGTACACGAACAGCACACAACCCTTGCCTATGTTGTAAATTTACCCCATGTCCAGTGATCAGTTGCTTGATTTCCAGCAGTCCAATATAAACTGCAAATATAAACTAGAAAAACTGGTATTTTGCCAATGGTTCTTTGTTTTTCTTGGAACCAAAAGCCTGAACTGACCTTCATTTCACCATAGCTTGGCAGCAGCCTCTCCTGCCTAGCAGAAAGCATTCTAGGCTTTAGAAGGTGTTCAAAGGTGCTTGTCACACTTGGCTTCTGTTGATTTTTGGGGAACTGATCAAACCTTAATGCTTTCCCCCATCTTACACTATGGTGAAAGAGGCCTCTTGGAGTTGACTAGTTCCAGCATTAGAGAATATCTTCATGCAGTTTTTATCATGCTCCCTATTTGTAGCCACATCCCTATTTTGCAGTGACTTTGTTGGGACAGCTGCAGTGTCTCAAAACCTCATCGTCTGACTAAGGTTCAGCTTGTGGTTGGATCCTGAGAGGGTCTTCCAGGAAGCTAAGATGAGGAACTTGTCAAGCAATGCTGCCAGGATCAAATTTGTCATTTCATGAGGGATACATTTTTCCCCACCAAACCTCTGACTTAGTGTTTGAAGAAGATACTGAGCCATCAAGAAAGGTGAATCATTATCTCATGGCATGAGGGACAGGATACATATGGGGTGCTTTAAGTTTCAGTCCTTCTCAGGGCCTGAGATGACTTTCAGACAAAGGAGACAATAGAATTTATTGTTTATGGGGTGTAACATCTACAATACACCTGGTTCTCACCTCTCAATTCGTCTGCAAGACTGTGAAATTATTACTTAAAAGAGGATTAAGAAACTATGGGCTCTGGCAGCTGCCCTGCAGCAAAATGTCTTTGAATTCCTTTATCAGTGACCCATCCCAAAATGGGAATGTTCTCTGGCCATCATAGTTGCTTAGACCAGAAGAACATTGCCTTTGCCCTGATAGATGAGGAAGGAGAAATAATTACTCTGAATTTCAGATGCTGCACAAGGGCAATGCATTTCTCCCAGGGGTGTCTGTGTTTATGCTGAACTTACAACACAGAGAGCTGGGAAGTGACTGCCTGGGAAAGGAAAATTACTCCCATTATCATAGAATCACAAAAAACAGGAGGGAAGGGTATCTGTAGGAAATCACACAGTCTTTATCATCCTTTGTCTTTATGCAGGGCCAACTATGATGTCTTATTTATACCTATGGGCTTAAATATCCCCCTGTCTTTCACAGGCAATCTGTCCCAGTGCCATCTGAAATATCTGAAGGTTTTCCAGGGGGTTTAGTTGTATCTCCTTGATGCAATTTCAATCTCTGGTCATTTCTGCTGTTGTTGGTATCCTGGCTAAGTTCCTAGTATTGCAGTAACCAAACCAGACACTGTACTACAGCTCAGAACTTCTGCTGGAGGCTGGCTGAGCTCTTGCACTTTTTTTTTTTAATGCACCAGCATAATTGCATTTTTTGGGCAATGGCAGAATATTGTAGACTGATTTCAGCTCATGACCCCCTAGCTCCACCATCAAGGTGCCACTTAACCTGCTGTTGCCCATTCTAAATAGGAGTCATTGTTTACTCCTGAAGTGTAGCACCTTGTTCTTATCCTTATAAAATTTTATTCTGGTTTTAGACCCTTCTTTTTCAACTTGTCTGTGTGATTTAGAATTCTAGTCTTCTCCCCCAGCATTGCTTGTAACTTCCCAGGCTGATGTTACATCTTAAATAACCACTTTGCTCATTCATTATCCAGCTAACTAATGAAATGCTGAATAACCCTTGACCTAAGTGAGTCTCTGAAGACCCCATGAGGTACAGCTTTCCATGGTGACAGTGACCCATTGCTAACTCTTAGCAGTGACCCAGCCAGTTTTGCTGGCCTCAGAGCAGTTTCCTTAGTTTGCTTTTGGCAATGCTGTGTGACACAGCATCAGAAGTCTTCCTGAAGTTGATAAAATTTGGCTTTTCCCTACCTGCAAGGCCTGTTGCCATGTCACAGAAGGAAACTGAACTGATTTGACCTGATTCATGACAAATACCACTTATTTGCAACTGTACTGCTTGTTTTCCAGATGCTTACAAACTGTCAGTGGGATTTTTGCTTCTAAAACATTCTCAGGGATTGACAGGCAAGTGGTTTGTGTGTAATTTTCCAGTTTATCTTCCCATTTTAAAGGCAGTAACTGCATGTAACATTTTCCATGGCTGATGTAACTCACATCTTCCCTGAGTTATCAGCAATGATTCTTGGTGGTGATTGATTTAGTTTCTTCTTTAAATATCTCATGGTAGGTCTAGTGATAGCCCTGAGTAAAAAG